ATCACTACAATCAGTGTGAAAAGAATGAAATTAACTGAATGTTTGATGTGTAATAAGCTATTTTTAGTTCAAAGGGAAACACATTTAGGAAAGACAATTCCTTCCTGTCTACTTCCCCCAGCTTCTATTAAATAACTATTTAAATACCTCTAACTAAAAAGCAGTGTGATGGATTTTCTTCATACTTTGTGGTATCTTCTTTGCTGCTGGTATAACTCCAGCAACATATATGTAAAATCAATTTTCCAATGAAAATGTAGTGAACAAAAAAGGGCTTTCCAGTAGAAATAGGTTGTAGCCTTAGGATCTCATCTAGAAAATACTATGCACATACTTTACTTAGCGTTTGTGAGTCATATAATTGAAGTTAGACCTGTGGAGGTGAGTGATTCCAGGATTTGGCCTTTGGCAATGAGGGATGAGCTCAAACGTATGGAGATGTTTTACAGCAGTTCTCTGCTGGCAGCTTATTTTAGTTAGGTTAGATAAATTCCCAGTCCGAGCCTCTCCAGGGTGTTCTGGTCCTCTGTTGCAGCTTGTTCTGATGATTTCCTTCTACAAATGTAAGGCTTCACTTTGCTGGCACGTCACGCAGATGTCTCAGCCTGGTTTTGTGTGAAGTTTTAAATATAAGGTAAAATTGTGGAAGCCAGTAGTGGTATCATAGACCAAAAGTTTGCCAAATCCACATTAAGTTCCTGAGCACTAGAGTTTGCATTCGGTTGACGAAGGCGTGGAGACCCTCTGATGAGGGTCAAGAGCTCAATTTAACTGTTTTAGGGCAGATAATAATTTAAATTCAACTCTGCTTTGTGAAGCATCTGCAACAAATCCTTGAATGTGTATTACACATGCCAGCATATGAGGTGAAGGAGCCTTGGGTGTGTTAACAGTGTCTTCTCGCGTCAAATGTAGTAGAGCAAATATCCCTTTCAAAATGCAAGCAAGTTCCTTCATAAAACTGCCCCATCTTTGGGGGTTTTAGCCTACACTGCTCTTCTTGGGAGGCTGTTCCAGAATAGGATCCTCTGAAGGCTGGGAATTTTTTTCTGATTCTTACACTAAATATATTTATGGCCAGCTATTATCCATTTGTTGTTAAGCCAACACTGTCCATTAGCTTAAGTAGCACTTCTCCTTCACTGATGTCCCCCTTCTGTTCGCCCTTCTTTTGGCCATCCTCAAAGATGCTTTTAGAGTGTGACTTTGTTTGGACATACGAGTCATGTTTTTAAGGTCCCCTCTTGTGGTGTGGGCTTTCCAATGCCCTTTCTGTGACGGGTGGCCGAAGATGTCACCCTGCCCAGACCGATTGCTGAGCGGAGAGACCCTGTGCTGGGGCAGAGCGTGTGGTCCAGGAGACCTCAGCAGCAGCACCCACTGCTGAAGTGATGGCATGGGGGAGCAGAGAGGCATCACACAGCCATTGCCATTAGCTCAGGGTTTGGGGGATGTTCTCCTTCTGAGCAGACCCCCTTTGGTATGTGTGACTGCAAGGGATTTTTCACTGAATTTCACTGAATTTTTAGAGTTGGAAGGGACCATCGAGATCATCTAGTCCAACTCACCTGCTGAAGCAGGATTGCCCAGAGCTAGAGCATGTTACTCAGGACTGCATCCAGGCGGGGTTTGAAAATCTCCAAAGAAGGGGACTCCACGCCCTCCCTGGGCAGCCTGTTCCAGGGCTCCGTCACCCTCACTGTGAAAAAGTTCTTCCTCATATTCAACTGGAACCTCTTATGTTCCAACTTGTGCCTGTTGCCCCTTGTCCTCTCACTGGCAACTACTGAAAAGAGTCTGGCTCCCTCCTCCCTCAGCCCGCCCTTGAGATACTTGTAGGCATTAATAAGGTCTCCCCTCAGCCTTCTCTTCTCCAGACTAAAGAGTCCCAGCTCTCTCAGCCTCTCCTCATAAGGGAGATGCTCCAGTCCTTGAATCATCTTTGTAGCCCTACGCTGGACTCTTTCCAGTAGTTCCCTGTCCCTCTTGAACTGGGGAGCCCAGAACTGGACACAGTATTCCTGTTGTGGCCTCACGTTTCTCCAAGGGGCTGGATTCTCCTCAGGCATGTGTCAGTCTCCAGGCACGGGGTTGCTTTGCTTGTGCCAGTCACAAGCCAATATTGGGTTGTGCATCAGGCGCTGCGCTCACCTGTTGTTGAATTTGTGCTCACCACCATCGCTACAGCCAGCTCGTGTCTCCTTACCCTGGCTCTCCATCTGTGTATCAGGAACAGGAATCACAGTTCACTTTGAGATAGCACTTGATAAAGCAGTACTTTGCCAGGCAGGCCAGCATTTTGCTTCAAATGTGACCCTTTCTATGACCCCCCTTTTTTTTTTTGTTTTCCCCAAATGGAAATTATTGTTGTAAGAGTCTCAATTTACTGCAGAAATAAACGAGCACATTGACACATTTTAATAGGGCAGATTTCAGAGTATCATAGTGCAGATCTGACAGTTGCATCTGGCCTTACATCTTGTTCTTTGCCAGCAGGGTAGTCCCTACTGTACTGCCACACTAATTAATCAGCTCAGCACTTTGTTAGGATCATTGTGTGGGTTTCACTTTCACAAAAGGATTTGCTGACTTGCCTTTTTAGCTATAAAGTAACTTGATAGTGCACATTTCCAAAACAAAAAATTGAAACATAGAATCTAAACGGACGCAGGTTTAGAAGCGTGTTCACTACTTCAGGAGAAAAATAGGTGCTGTGGCTGAAATCCATACAGCCGTCAAAATTACTTAGTCATTGCTTTTGACTTCCACTTCAGAACTAGCTGATGAAATGTCTCTAACTTTTAAGGTTAGATTGTAGAATGGTGCGGGATTTAATACTACTCTTGTCTGCCTGAGCCTCATCTAATATCTGAATGGCTTGGATTTGCTTATTTGTTCATATGGGTCAGACAAGACATACGGAGTGCAGGGAACCACAAGCCAGTGAAGCAGTCTTGCGCCACTTTTGTCTCCTCAAACTTTCAGTCAAGTTAGATGACACATGGTAAGATGCTGTCAGTTCAAGTGCAGTGAAGTGTGTCGTGTGAAGTCGTATGGCAGAGATCACAACACATGCCTTAATGCATGTTCTTCCTCATGTGTACGTATTCTTCCCATTCTTCCTTCTCGCTCAGGTCCATAAACAGTATTTCTTGCATTAGCTGAGCTGCACGGATGACAAAGGGATTGCAACAGACTGCAATGTGAGGATGCAACCTCCACTAAATGAACTCTGAAGTGCTGCAGCATGTTCTTCACCACCCAGTTACAGGGGTGACAGTGAAGGTAGTGCTGAGATAGGGAGATATTGGCATTTTAACGTCTGCCCTGGGAAAGTGGTGAACACCTGCAATTCCCATTGAGATCAAGGAGAAGTGCAGGTGCTCAGCAATTCTCTTATGGGCCACCTTTTAAACAAATACTTTACAGAAGACTTCACATTCACCCTTAAAAGCAGAATCTCCACTGCCATTCAGTTCCTCTCATTTCCTGGCAATTTCATGTTACTGAGATGATGAGGCTGAAGCAAACTTGTCTACTGACTTGCGTCTTTTGCTTGTGCCAGATCAGTGACTGCCTATTCCTGGTTGCACTCAGTTTCTTGACTCTTGTTTTACCCCATATGAAGATGGAGAGAAAACGCTGTATTTGTTCTCATGTTGTGGGCTACGTGGGAAAAGATGAAGCAGGGTCTGAAAAGAATAGAGGGATAGGATACCTAGATGAGAAATACTCATTTGCTTGCACAATGCTCTTGGCCTTGCCCTCTCTTGTCAGAACTCTTGAGTCCTGCTGTTCCTCTGGGTCATTGCTGTAGTGTTTTAACAGGGAAGACAAAAAAAAAAACCAACCCAAGGTGGCTGGGAATAAGGGGCATTAACTAGTGGAGAGATAAAGTTGCCTCCCCAACCTTAGTTTCTGGAGCTGAGGAGACAGGACTTCTACTGCCACATATGTGGACATGGTGTGTTGGCCCTGGGTGGCTAAGGTAATACGTACAGCTCCCAGGCTGGTTGGGTTCCCAGGTGCCACAGTAAGAAATACTTGCTATCCTTGGGAGTACTGTGCATACCGTTATATGTTTGAAGAACAACAAAAAAAAATACAAAAGGATGCCGAAGAGCAGTTTTGACCAAATCCTGTGGTGTACCTTGGCAAAAATTGTGGGGCTGGGTAGTCTTCCTGTTCAAATATTGACTTAAGTGATGAGGGTTTTTTTATTAAAAGGTCTCAGTGTACTATTGTAGGCTGACCGTCTTTCACCTCTGCTATCTAAAATCCTGTTTACAGAAACACGGGCATATGGGCTTGATAGCTGGTAAATCAGCCTTCATTCCAGCAGTTGACTTTCAGGCACTCTGCTTTGCAGGATTAATATCCTCTTCATAAAAGTAATCTTGTGTGCATTCAGCCCTGCTTGCATGTGGATATCTTAAAGCAAGTTGAAAATGGGTTTGCCAATATAATAAGAAGAATGTAAAAAAAAAAAAAAAAGAAAAAAAAAAAAGTAAAAAAAAAAAAAAAGAAAAAAAAAAAAGTAAAAAAAAAAAAAAAGAAAAAAAAAAAAGTAAAAAAAAAAAAAAAGAAAAAAAAAAAAGTAAAAAAAAAAAAAAAGAGAAAGAAAAAAGTAAAGCGTTCAGAACATTAACACACATTTTCTGCATTCTTGAGTTGTCAGGAGAGCATGTGGTTCTTTCTACATGGAGGGAGTTTCTCGAGAAGTTGAGCAGCTGAACGCCAGGGCTTGTGCTTCACAAACCCCTTCCCCTCCTGAAGGCAGCTCTTGCTGAAGCAAGGCTGTGGCAGGCAGGCATGGCCCGAGGTGTGCATCGGCCGGCAGCGAGGGGGAGAAGGTCAGGCCTGAGCTCTCTAGGGACAGCCAAAGCCACCTCCTGCCTGTGGTCCGTGTTCCCTCCTCGAAGGGGCAGCTCTGCGCTCTGCAAGCAAGCAGCTCCTCTCAGGTAAAACTGACACTTGCTTTGTCTGCGTTCTGCCTGCAGTGGCTGAGGAACCCAGGCCCCCAGCACGAGAAACGGACTCTTTTTGGAGACATGGTGTGCTTCTTGTTTATCACTCCGCTGGCGACCATCTCTGGCTGGCTGTGTCTACGAGGAGCGGTGGACCACCTGCACTTTAGTAGTAGGCTAGAAGCTGTTGGCCTCATTGCACTCACTGTCGCACTCTTCACTATTTACCTCTTTTGGACCCTAGTAAGTATTGGTTTTCTATTCAACTCACAGGAGCAAGGAAAAGAGCAAATCAGAAAATTAATTATACAGAGTGCTGTAGAGCAGGTGGACTGCTGTACAAAACATTGCTTGTATTTACCTTCTGTACTCATAAATTTTAAGTTACACCTGCAAGAAACCTTTTAGTGCCACACCATTCAAGTTCTCTGGAAAACCAGAAAGACAGTTTGCCTTTGGGGTCAGTAATTCCCAAATCACACACACCAGAGGGGATAGCAGGATGGAGAGAAGAAAGTAACATGGAGGAGTTCAAGACAGATGATCTAGGAGGGAGTTTCATCAAGGATAATGTGCAAAAGGTGAAGGCTCAGTGCACAAAAAAGCTTTAGGTGGACAACCTGGCTGCCAAAGAGGATTCAGATTTTACTCTAACCCAAAACCTGGCCAATTTTACAATGCAAAAGCCTTGGATGTGGGTACATCCCACGCTTTCCCCATTCCTCCTACTCGTCGCACTGTGGGAAGCCCACAGCAGAACACACCTTACACCCAGGTCTGTAGAAAGGTAGCTGCCTTTGCAGTGCAGTGAAACCACTGCCTTATTCCCATCCTGCACTCAGGTGTACTGTCCCTTGTGTGCTGATCCATCCTAAAAGCCACTTGTTCCGTGCCAAGTTGTTAAACTGAGATCAGTTCCTGGCAACAGCACACCAACAAACAGTTGGCCCAGCAGAAATGAAAGGAACCCTGCCCAAGCTGCCCAAATAAGTGTTTATCAAACTGTGGTTTAGCAGCTCACTGAAAAACCCCAGGTTACTGTTGAGTTTGCCATTTCACACCTCTAGCTCTGGTGTGGGAAGGAGGACAGACCACTGCCCAGCCCCAGCCCCAAACCATGACAGACACCCTGCCTGTGGGGCTGGCACAGCCACTAAGCCCAAAGGGCCAGAGCCCAGATCTCCCCTCAGTGGGTATGGCCTCACACTGTGTGCCTGACCCCCACCAGCAGTTTTTGATAAGTGTAAGCTGCTGAGGAGGCAGCACTTTAAGAACTGCATTAGCAGAGCTAGCCCACGGCAAGAAACTCCTGTGCTGAGCCCAGTGTAAGCTTGGAATAGTAGAGGTGGAAGGAAACACAAAAACCCCACGCTGCCTAACAGCTAGCTCCAAGAAAGCTATGGAAGGAGGCATCTCATTTTCTTCATTCATAACAATAAAACCCTTTCTCATCCGTAGAGCACCGCAGGCTAATTTTAGCAGTGCACAAGAGTAGGGAAAGCTGAGAGTTTTGCCTCAGCCTCCTGCAGTTTCTCTTTTTGTTGTTTCTGCTTCCATCTTCTGCGAAGCAGCAGCACTCCCCTTTGACAGGGAGGCCATTTACTCCAGCAGTGAGGTGGCACCTTCGTGTGTGACTGTCCTAGAAACCCACATGCTGCCCAATTTACCTAATATACATAATTCACAAGCACCAAAATGGTTCCAAGTTGGAAAGGATAGTCCGGCTAAGTAGTTGGATTTAATTATCCATGACACATGGACATATCTGACCTAGCTCGTTAAGACTTCTGCAGCATCTCAGTTGTAGTCCTTAACACCATCTATTGCATTTGAATTGTAAGTGGCATAAATCCCTCCTATTCACTTTATAACTTTTACTCCTTTAAAAATATACAGAGAAATGTGTTATTGGCAGAATATGGCAATAGTGAGCCTGATGTAAATGCATACCGTGGTTGATTTAACTGAAACGCAGTATCTTTAACAACCACTGAGTTGTGGAAGATGTAATTCCACTCTAATCTTTTATTCAGACCAGCAGGAGGTGGATGGGCTAATGAAACCCCGTGTTCATCAGGGAAGGGCAAGGCAGGGAGCTTTTCAGGGCAGAGTAGCCCTCCTGTTCAGCATGGGGTTAATTCAGTGGGCAGAGCAGGGAGAAGCAGTGAGAAGGACTCTCAGGCTTTCTTCACAGTACAGAAGGTGCCCTCCTTGCCCCCACAGCATTAGTACTGGATGGAAGAGTTCTGAGGAGGTTTAAGTATATCTGCAGATTAAGTCAACAGGCTTGAGTGACAGTGTTTTCACACATTTTCTCAGAGGGCAGATTTGCAAGGCAGAGATTTAAAGCAACTACTCTACAAATGGCACTGAGCACCCTAGATGTGGAAGACATGCCTGAGGCCCATCACTGGTGCAGGAAAGCCCCAGCCTGCCTTTGCCTTGGGGAGGCTCCACGCTTCCCTTGCCAGGCGGCAAGGAATGGACTCACTCACAGGGGTGCTAACCCCTTCAAACGCTTCAGCAGCACCTGCCCTTTAATTTTCAGGAATGAGAGAATCCGGTGCTGCTTGCTCAGTTATGGCTGTGCAGGGAATATGTTGAGTGCTGTGGGGTAAGTTAAACACAACGTGGAATATAAGGCTCCTTTAGGTCCTGGGAAAATTAAGAAAAGTAAAACTTTTTACTTCCAGTAAATCAGCTTATTTTCTCTGGAGGCAAAAGCTGGCATATTCACACACCACAGTTACCCTAGTGAGCACAGAATGGGAGAGGTGCTATTTTTAGTATCTGAGAAGCTATTTTATCCCTTCCTCTAAAAGAGCCAAGTTCTCCATAAAATGCTGTTGCTTTTCTTCTGCATTTGATCATTGTAACAGATGTACACACACACACACAAAAAAATAAAGCCTGCTACTCCCAACAAGACAGCTTCACACACAAACCAGATTGCCATTTAAACTAAGAATTGAGGGCCACACTCTGCTTTCTCTTGCTTGCAGGTAATCTCAACTCCTGTACGACCAAGTAGCAGGTTGGAGTACAACAGGATCTGCCCCTGTAGCTTGCAGGATAACATAATGGCTGGTTTGAAACAAAAGCTAGCCTGAGTTAATTCAGAGTAAGTCAGAAAGATAGACACCCCTCTTGCTGTCCTGTTGAAGAGGTGAACAAAGGAGCTGAGTGTGCCAGGGACCAGTGTGACTCTGGTCTTTGTTCAGCATCTCAAGAGCTTTGCACCCAGCGTAGCAGCTCGGTGTGAGTAACCCTGGCGCTGCGGCAGATCAGGGGCTGACATTGCTCTTGCCTCCAGGCAAGAACCCACTGTAAACAAGCTGTCACACTGAACGAGGATATCCTGTGAAAGTGCCTTGAACAAGCAGTTAAAGCCTGGCCTAACGATGCCGCCGTTGCTCGAAGAATCGCATGTGATGCTTTTTGAAAACTAAACCTAAATTCTGTCGCGCTCCTTTGAAGCCGTCGCTGCATTTTGCACAGCATTCGTCTTTGCAGGTCTTGGGGGGGGGGGGGGGGCCCC